AAAAAAAAAAAAAAGAAAGAAGATTTAGAAAAAGCAAAATACTGTTCTAGGTAGAAAGCAAGAATATTCAGCAACTGGAAGATTTCAACAGTACAAAGGAATCACCATAATTTCCCCTTGAATTTGGATCATGAATTAGTTGGCTATCCTTTTCTCTTGAATCTTTTTTTTTTAATTTTATTTATTTATTTATTTATTTGAGACAGAGTCTCACTATGTCACCCTCAGTAGAGTGCCATGGCGTCACAGCTCACAGCAACCTCAAACTCTTGGGCTTAAGTGATTCTCTTGCCTCAGCCTCCCAAGTAGCTGGAACTACTGATGCCCGCCACAATGCCCAGCTATTTTCTTGTTGCAGTTGTCATTGTTTAGCAAGCCTGAGCTGGGTTCCAACCTGCCAGCCTGATGTATGTTGCTGGAGCCTTAACCACTGTGCTATGGGCACTGAGCCTCCCAGATGAATCTTAATCATGAAACTCATATGATCGGCATTGTTTTGGGGTGGCTTGAATGTGGTCCTGCTCAGACCTAAAATAATAAATTACCCCATTACCTGGTAATGACTCACCCAAAACAAAAACTGTTTTTATTGGAAAAAGAATCTATGAAATTTCAGGGAAACATTCCATTTCCTAAGATGTTTGTCTTTGTCTTTCAAAATTATTTCTTCTATCCCTAAGGCACAGTTTCTCAATCTGGCATTCTCATTTCTGGTCTTTTGGGCTTACCATTCTCTGTGATGGACAAAAGGCACATGAGGCGAAGGCTTTCTATGGGTGACACCTACACAGGAAGAAAGAGTCAGGGAGGACTCTAAGTTCATGACGTGAATTTGTTTCTTCCTTCTGCTTGAGGCTTACCCCACCTATAAACCATCCTCAGCTTCCCAGTCCTGCACCTGCTCACCTGCCGGTCTATGTGCTCCTCAATGTAACTGGTGCTCTCCCGGACACTGAAGCCCTCCAGCAGCGCTGTAAGTAATCAGAGAGCCTATTACCAGGGATCAGCTTGGCTACTGCCATCTATGCTAACAGGCATCTATCTCCCCATCTCTTTCTCCACCTTCGGGGTGGATTAGGAGAACCCCAGGGCTTGCAGAAACCAGCATTTCATATAGCCAGGGTCATCCAGAAAGAGCCAGAAAGCATCTTCTAAGGGTGGATCGGGCTGGGACCAAGGAAGCAGAAGCAGGACAAGTAGCATAGCTGGGCCATCACTGTTACCATGCTCAGTCTTGATTAGCTCCTGGAAATCCTGCTTAGTTTTCTTCTTCATGATAGATTCACAGGCCCCAATATCTGTAGAATGGACAAAAAGGGATCTGACTTATTGCTGGTCCTAGAAGGATGACTCTTTATTGTCCATTAGAATAAAGACCTCTTAAAGCACAATCTTCCCACTGTAGATCAAAGAGAGCCCATTATTTGCCAGGTGAACAGAGATGTCCTCCTGGGAGTGGGTGGTCTGCTGCACTGTGGCCCACAGGGAGACAGAGTCACTTCTCCTCCCACCCTTGAGGTGAAACCTACGGAGACTCAGCAGGCGGTGCTCCTGTTTCAGGCCCTTGAGCTCCTGGGACACGAAGTTCTTCATTTGCTTGATGTCCATGCCTCTCCGGCGCTGTGGGTAAGTCCCCACAAGACCTCAGGCATGGGAAACCATCACCCTTTCTCAGTTGCCACCCATCCACGAAAAAGGACCAGGGCCCTGTCACAGTATAGACAAGGAGCCAAAGGGTAACAGCCTTGGGAAACCATACAATAGCTCACATCATACTGGGCCTGCAAGTTCCGGGCCTTCTGGCTCAAGAAGCCAAAGACGTTGGAGAAGTGCTCATTACGAATCTCATTAAACACCTGTGAGGGAAACAGATATGAACAATCTGGTCAGTGTAGTGACAGCACAGGAAAAGCACCTAGAGCTGGCAGGAGCACAGGGAAGGCTGGGCTAGGACCAACAATCAACATACACACACCCCACCATGTGCTCTGGGACATGCCCTCACCTGGGACTCTGCCTCCCTCCTAGAGCTAGGCCCCTGCCCAGTGTAAGCAGTGGCCTTAGTAATGCAACTGCCAGTGCCCACCCTCACCTTGTCCTCAGCATTGAGCAGCACCTTCAGGCTCTTGTCAGAGGATGTGACCTCTGGGCCAAAGTCGACACTGCCTTGGAGAGCAAAGGGATAGGGATTAAGACCTTCAAAGAGGCCTTCTCCTACCCTTCCCTGAACTGCTGGTAAAGGTTCCCCAAACTATTTGGAAACCAGCAGTTCACTCAAAGTCTGGGTCTTTCCCACAAGCCTTTTCCTGCTGTGAAAGGCACCAGAGGCTGATGACCACTTCTATCTTACCAGACAGAAGGGAGCACGGCACTTACCACACTTGATGCGGAAGGTGTCATCTACCAGGCCCTCGTAAACAACTTGAGAGCAAAGTGCCGTCACATAGTCCATGTCTGAAACCAAGATCCCCAACCATGAAGGTTCTCCCTGACCCAGCCTTCTACCCAGTTTGTTCACTGATAGCCAAGTACTTTCCTCAGTGCCCAAGTTCCCATGCTCCTAATCAATGAGGGAGTCACAGCCCTAACTACAGGATCTCAGCTGTAAAACCCTAACTTTGCCACCACACTTTCCATATTCCCATGTCTACTGGGATACAAAAATGAGGAGTGCTAGGCATAATTTACCTCTGTCCAAGAGAAAGATATGTCCAATTTCTGGCCTTCGACCCTTGCTTTCACCATCTTCCTCCTCTTCCAGTTTTCTCCACAATTCATATGACATCTGCCAGGGTCCAAGATTGTCTCAGTCTACATGCAGGTCCCTGCTATACCCCCATACCTACAGAAGCCAACCCCTTCCATGTGATACTTCTTGCCCCCAACAGGAGAGCTAATTATTAACAATATTTCCCCATTCTACTCCCATCTGTTCTTATCCCTCCCATCTCTTTCCACACCAATGAAGAGGGTGTTACCTTGCCCTCCAAGATAAAAAGAGTTCTAGGGAAGCTACCCTCCCTGGCTCTTGCCTCTCTGTTAGCCACACAAGGTCTCTCCAAGGAACTATTCCAGAGCAATAAAAGCAATGTAAAGAATACACATCATATCATGGATGCCCTTGGAAAGTCTGGGTAGGTAGAGAACAGGGGAAATAGGAGTTATTAGGACAATGGGACTGCAAGCTCTCTTACCTTAGCACATCTGCCAATTCCATAGCAGTTTGGAAAGGGTCCATAGAGAGTGCTAAGAAGGTGCAAGGCCTGGGCCACAGTGTTGATCCAACGCTGATCTCCTTCCTACAGGGACCACATGGACCACAAACATATGAGTCAACCCCGCAGGCCCATCTGAAAAGTACCTAGCCCTAGAAGTCCCAAGGTAGAAGGGCAGCATCTGGGGAACACTTGAAAAAGTTCATTTTGGGCCAGGCACGGTGGCTCATGCCTGTAATTGTAGTCCTTTAGGAGGCCAACGCAGGTGGATTGCCTAAGCACACAGGTTCAAGACCAGCCTGAGCCAGAGCAAGACCTCATCTCTAAAAATAGCTGGGCAGTGTGACCAGTGCCTATAGTCCCAGCTAGTTGGGAGACTGAGGCAAGAGAATCACTTGAACACAAGAGTTTGAGGTTGCTGTGAGCTATGATGCCACGACACACTACCTAGGGCAACAAAGTGAGACTCTGTCTCAAAGAAAAAAAAGAGAGAAAGAAGAAAAACTTCATTTTCTTTCTTTCTTTTTATTTGAGACAGAGCCTCAAGCCTTTGCCCTGGGTAGAGTGCCGTGGCATCACAGCTCATAGCAACTTCCAACTCCTGGGCTCAATCGATTCTCCTGCTTCTGCCTCCCAAGTAGCTGGGACTATAGGTGCCCACCACAACGCCCGGCTATTTTTGGGTTGCAGCTATCATTGTTGTTTGGGAGGCTTGGGCTGGATTCAAACCCGCCAGCTCGGGTGTATGTGGCTGGCGCC